GAGGAAAGATGGTGGTGAGAAGTGAGGAAGCTTGCTATCTTGGTATGATAACAGCATGCAAAGCAAGCCAGAATGTAGTCAGGATTCTTAGGTTGACTATGATGTCATTCAGTTAAATGATCAATTCTTTATTGATTGACTCTGTTTTCATGTTCTGTTCTAGACCTGGCTTTATATGCTGTGGGATGTGGAATTGAATCAGATATTGGCCTTTCTTTGAAGGAGTCATCTTGCAGAAGACCAGATGGTAACCATGTTGCTAACAGAGACAGTTACAATACAGGGTGATAGCATGGGATACAGCAATATGCTTTAAACTTTAAACTTTTCTGATCATTAGGGTACCCACCCCAGGTTTTTCTGAGTTAAATTATTTTGGGAAAGGTCCTGGTAATCTCTATTTTTACCAGGAGCTCCAAGCAATTCTTACCATCAGCCACACTAACTTTGGAATTATCCAAAGCTGGATTCCAATTCTGGCTCAGGCCAATGGTGTTACCTACCTGACAAAACTTATCTGGACATTTACCTTTTACCTGTTCCTAGATTCCTCAAAATTATGCCTTTACCTCTCACTGAGCCCCAATATTACTCTGCATTATTATACAGAGGGTGTGTTGCATAAACACAACAATCAAGGCTGAATGCTCGCTGAGCTCCAGTCCACACAGTACTCTCTCTACCTAGAGGAAAGGGACCCACTTCTTTTTTATCCAAACACTCTTAGCCTTGATTCTTTTGAATTGTGTCCTCCCAGGGTGAGAAATTTTTATGATTCGTCTGTCCAGAAGGAGAACTTTTCTCTAATTTTCACAAAGGAATCATGTGAACTAACAAAACCCGAATGCCCCTCCTAAACACAAATGTTTGCTGGTCCTGCTGCTGTCACCCACTCCCAATCACCCACTCTCGACTTTTTGCATCTCTTCAGAACATGCACCAGTCTCCTATGTGAGCTTGACAGCTAGTCCTGGCCTTAGTTCTTAGAAGTCCTCTTCGCTCTGCAATAAAGGATACGCTTTCCCAAATATTATTTGTTTTGTGCCTGGAACACGAGGCTGTGTAGCTCATTAACA